TCTCGTTTGTTATATTTTAGAACGTGTAGATCTGCCAAACCCGACGTCATGCGATTGTTTGACTTTAACCGTTTATTTTAGTAATATATCAATTAAAACTAACCATAAAAATCAATGCTATGTGTTGCATGTGAGAGTGTGGGACTTCGTTTGATGCCTAAACACATGTGATTCAATATGTTATGTTTTGTTATTAAATTTTTTAATATATACATATATATAGACTTGGGATCGTGTGAGATAAAACGTTTTTTGTGAGACCTGTAAGACCAATTATCAACCATTGGATTAGATCTACAATCTGAACATTCATAATCATAAAATTGTCACGAGACTTCTCAATAATCACAAAATTGCCACAGGGTTCGGTTCACGTGAGACCAATGGTTTTTCATGAGACCTGTAAGACCAATTTATGTTCATTGATCAACTTTATAAGCTAATGATCTAATGGTCTAAAGTTGCACGATGACAATTTTGTGATTATTGAGAAGTCTCGTGGCAATTTAATGATTATGAATGTTTAGATTGTAGATCTAACCCAAGGGTTGATAATTGGTCTTACGGGTCTCACGAAATACTCTTGGTCTCACATGATCCCAAGTCTCTCTCTCTCTCTCTCTCTCTCTCTCTCTATATATATATATATATATATATATATATATATATATCTTCAACTTAATTTTATGGTATTATATTTTTGTTAAATATTTCTTAAGAGAATTTAGAACAATTGGAAAAAAAATGTGATAGGGACGGATCTATAAAGCCTCGAGCGAGGTTTCTTGTACATCTTCAACTTATTTTCGTAAATAGAATTTTTATGAGGTGTGAAAGGTGTACCCGATAAACTTTAAGGGGTGCACTGAAATATTAGCAAATACAAGAAACATCAGCTAAAAAACCAAAAAAAAAAACTTTCTAAAAAAAATCTCCAAGAGACAATAAAATTCGGCTAAAAACACATCAGAAAACTTTATGGACCTTTAATGTACCTTAAAATGCATCCACTCAATAAGACAAAAAATTAAAAAATTATAAGATATTAATTAATATTGGATTATATAATAATCTTTATTAAATAAGATTTTTAGTCAGTCCTGACTTGAGATAACGTTTTAAATGAATAATTCATTAAAATTATAATATATTACATATTTTTTTATTAACCGGATATCCAACACGATACGCGAGCCAACTAATCCCAGGACGACCACCTACTTTGCAGATAGTCCGGAGTCACCTCATTTGAACCTCCGTGGCCACAAGGGGATTTTTATTTCTCATTGGATTTGAACTTGGAACCTCCAGATACTTTTGACCTTTGGAGTCAAGCTGAAACCAATCAAGCACCACCCTTGTGGTTGATATTACATATTTTATTACTTATATATCTAGATTGTTGGGCGTAAGATGTTGTATTCAAGTTTTAAAGGGTTTCTTGTGTAAATATCTTGAGTAGTCAACTTGTGACCTCCCTTGATCCTTGGTATAAATAGCTTTTGTTTCTGTTAGTTTCATAACGCATTTAATAGATTCTATAGAGTTTAATCGTGTGTAGTTCTTGATGTAATATTCTCTCTCAATGAAATACATATGGAAGCTTGAAGCTATGACTATGTTCTTGATCTTTCTTCTCTAGATTTATATTATATTACTTGAATCTGGAACTCACAATTGGTATCAGAGCAGATTAGGTGATTTAGATTTGATTCGAAACATCAATTTTGAAGGATTTCTTGAATTTCATGAAAAACTCGATGAACAGAGAGTTTGAGTATGTGATTTTGATGATTAATCTTCTTTTTGTTAGATTTGGAGTTTAATTGGTTCAAATTTCATTCTAGAATCGATCTGAATCAATTTATTTCTGCAATTTCAAATCATTTTTGATCAAATCTGAGAATTTTGTAGAATTTTCTTGTTTGACCGTTGTTGATGAAATTTTGTGAAATTTTTAGTTTTGATTCGAATTCGGCATAGAAGATGTTCATTAATTGTGTTTGGGAGCAAAAATCGAACATGGAACAAACGAACTTACAAGTGATTTTGAGTTTTGATGAGTAAAAGTTCGAACAGTTGAAATCTGAGTGTTATGTGATACAGTGATATTCTTGAGTTTATCATATCCTTGTATGAGACAGTTGGAATTTCGGATTTTATTTTTCTGATATCTTATGTAATATATATTTTCTTATATATTACATAATCTCTGTTGCTAGTTCTTCCACTAGCTATCGGTAGTTACTTTCCTTAAGTCAGGATGTTGATTTTCAAAGCCTTTTGATTTATGAAGACTTATTGAAAGATGTATTTTAATGTCTATAAAGCAGTACATTGACTAAACGGGTGGTTAAAATTAAATCAGTTCCACCCAAATCCATGGATGTGAACTGATGAACACCACTACTTGAGGGATCATATATCAGGATGCCGATAATTATAATACATTATGCTAGGGTGGGTGTGCCCACAAGAAGAGGTCGGGTAATTGTTGGGCAAGCCTATCTCAACTGTGTCGTAAGTAAATTCAATGACTCATACCAAATTGTACAAAAGGAGATCTCGTTGGAGTATACCATTTTCCGAACACGTTAATATCGCGACGGTATTCATAATTATTGTATGGTTAAGTGTGTTCAAATAATAAAAATGCATGGTTTATTTCACTAGGGACGTATATCTCAAGATATAGCAAGGTCGTTAATGAAAAGGCAAGGAAATGGTCTAGCTATAATCCCAACTTAGACATTGTATATGATATAGAATGGTATAACTTAGATGTCGTTTACCAAACACTTATCCGATAAGTGCTTACCGGTAAAATTTAACACTATTATTTACTTATCCGGTAAGATTTAGTCCATAAAAACGGTATTATATGCAATAATTTACCCGGTAAGCGCTTACCATGGTAAGAGTCGTCGTCCTCACTTACCGGGTAAGACTTTTGGTCTCGCTCTTACTGGGTAAGATTCTAGGTCCTTACCATATTAATCTGATAAGGTAATATGACTTGGTGTTCACTTACCCAAGTAAGTGTTTGGTAAACGGCCTATTAAAATTTGTCGAAGTGCTTGGATGCTATTTCTGTTTAAGTTTGTATATAAAATATTCCCATTCGTATTTATGAAGTTTTTTGTTATTCAACAAACGAAAATAATTTCGGAGATAAGTTATGATGTCATAACCCTATCGAAGGTACGGGCATGGCAATAATAGAATGTCATAGTTATTCGTTAAAGAAAAACTCGACAAACTACATATGAAGATGCATCATTTTAAATATCCACCTAGTGTTTTGGTTATTAATTTAGATGTATCGAAACTAAAGGGCTGTTTAACAGTTGCTGAATAGTTTGATGTATAATGATTAAGTGGTCAGATGATTAAGAGGTTCTTTAGATATAGTGCAAAATTAAATATAATTGTTTGGTAATTATTTACAACGAAATTAGGGTCCTGAATGGTTAAGGGAGACCCATGATACAAAAGCATTCAGAGGGTTTTAGAACTATTAAAAGGCAGACTTTATTTTGCCAAACAAGATTCACCTTTTAATGATTCAGAGGTTGCCTCTTAATAGAACTATTAAGAGGCAGACTTTATTTTGCCAAAAAAATCTGTCTCTTAATGGTTCTAAAACATTCTGAATGGTTTTGTATCTTGGGTCTCCCTTAACCATTCAACGCTTTAATTTCATCCTGAACAATTACCAAACAATTATATTTCATTTTACACTATATCGTAAAAGCTTCTTAATTATTCTGACCACTTAATTATTCTGTACTGAACCATTCAACAACTGACAAACAACTCATCTTTAAATAATAAATACTTAAAACAATTTGATACAACAATTAAATAAAGACAAACTTTGTGTTGAAGATTACAACCACTTCCACTTGATTGCTCTCCCATTTGGTAAATACATCATTTGAATAGACAAAGAAGAAAGTAACCCCACATAACACAAATACACAACCCAACCGACAACCCATTTTGCCTTATTTCAAATAATAACGGTCTGCTTATCGGCAATAAAACTTGGTATTTTACGGGCTTTTTCTTTTAAATTTCATCGGTTTGAGTCTTTCTAAAGTTACTAAGGATTTCTTTGGCTATTTCAAGACCCCGTAGAATAAACTGAAGGACGCAAAAGCTGGTCTAAACACCTACAATTAACAAAAGGTAAATACAAAATTACCACTTATAATACCATTGTTTTTACTCGTTTAGACAAGGACCAACAGAACATCATAAAGAAGCCATTTACTAAATGTTTATCGGATAACGCTTAGCGGCAAGAGTCATAATCAACACTTACTTTATCAGGTAACGTCATTAGCCATCAAAGTAGATTGTTAGTAAGCGTTTATCACCCAGTAAGCGTTTACCGAGTAAGAGTCACGACCATAACTTACCGGATAAGAGTCTTGGGGGTTGTTTGTTTACCTCTTAATAGTTCTATTAAGAGGCAATCTCTAAATCGTTAAGAGGTAAATCTTGTTTCGTGAAAAAATGGTCTCTCTTAATGGTTTTAAACCCCCTTGAATGATTTTGTATCATGGGTCTCCCATAACCATTCAAAGCCCTAATTTCATCAAAAATAACAATTATATTTCATTTTACACGAGAGTCTATTAATCATTCTGACCACTTAATCATTTTGCACCAAATCATTCAGCAACTGTCAAACAGCCTTAATCTTTGTCTTTTCTATCAAATTAAGATCATCAATCTTTAGTATACTCACCCGATAAGATAGACTCGATAAATGCTTACCTGATAAGAACGAAATAATACATAAATCATATTAAAAAATTCGTTCATTAAAAATTATAATTTATTCCTCAATTATGTTGCTTGTTCATTATTAAGCTTGGTACAAAGTTGACAACTTGTGTCTACTACTCAACATTCATTATTTATATTTTTAAATAATTAATTCAATTTATCTACTTTATTTTATTTATTTTATTAAAAAATAATATCAATAATTCCACATAATTTTCCCACTAAATAGAATGGTTTACATGTTGCATCAATACACCTAATAATTCCATAAACAATTTATTCAACCTAAAATCCTATATTTTTTTAATTCTAAAAAAGAATCACCCACAAATTCCTCAACTTGTACCGTACAACTCAATAATGCAATCCAAAATTCTCTAATGATAATCTTGTTTTTTTTCTTCCCGATCGAATCCGAAAAAGAAGTTGGATCCGAAAGAATAAAGCGAGAGGGTGGGTTTTTGGTGGGGAGTAGCTTTTCAAGATGACTCGAGTCCACGTCACATCGGGGCCCAAACGGGTCGGGAGGACAAAATAGGGAAACATGAATTGAAAAGAAGACGAGCCCACACCCAGACTCGAAAGGTTAATGGATGATTCTTTTTCGCGTGACTCTGAATGGGCCGGGCTCATAATGATACAACTGTCATAACCGCTGCCATAATGGCCATGTGAATGTAGGTGTTCCGTGATGGAGCTCCGCTATTTTCCATTGCGTTTGCACCTTCGAAAACCATTCCACTGTCGAACTCTGGCATCGTTGGCACCGCCGGAGTTTCTTGCCCCTCGGTTGATTTCTTGCTGCACCCATAAAAACGTCTCGTTAGATTGAAAATAAATACTGAAATAGGTGGATGAAATAATTGTGCAAGATTTTTAGGGTATAATTTGACATTAATGAGTTAGTAATTTTAACCACAAGGGTGGTGTTTGATTGGTTTTAGTTTGGGCTCCAAAGGTCAAAGTGCCTGGAGGTCTCAAGTTCAAATCCAATGAGAGATAAAAATCTTCTTGTGGTGTCGGAGGTTCAAATACGGCGACTCCGGCCTACCCGCAAAGCAGATGGTCGTCTAGATTCGGTACATAGTACAATTTGTTATGCATAACGTACAAGTACATGAATACAATATTACTTTTAGAGAATTGTACTTTTTTAATCCAAAAACATTAGTTTGCACGTGGGGTAACATCTTCAGAAGTTAACGTTGGATGAACACTAAAACTAGCCGTTAGCCGGCATAAATATCTAGATGTAACAATTGACGATATTACCCTCTAGTCGTACCATTAACAAAATATCCGGTTTGACTATTTAACGTCAAATTTAGATCAGCAAACCGACTAACTTTGGCGGTTGCGGCGGCCGGTAACGGTAAATATCTCATTTTACATAAGAAAAAATTGATGACCCTCTACCAAACAAAATAAGATGCAACGTTTCACCACACTTTATCACGTGTTCATTTTAATATTCGTTCGTTTCAGTTTGTATCATATTTTTATAAAATTTATAAAATAATTAAATATTGTAATTTTAAGATCTTGCGGTGTTTGGAATCGTTTATAAAAATAATTTATTGATTTATTTCGATTTTAAAACCGATAATAAAAATGTTTACCGTACCAAAACAGTAATTGGAAGTTTTTAAAAAGTTGATAAATATTTACTGACTTATAATCAGTTGATAAATGTTTTTTTTTTAAAACATAAATTATTTCAAATTAACAATCTCAAACACCCCCCTTACATTATTTATCAGTTGAAACTTTTAAGGTAACTAGGAAATTACCGTAAATATGAAAAAAAAAAACAGGGTTTTGTGTAAATTTACCTGGTGGTCGGCGGCGGGCAAAAGGTAACCTGGTAGTCGGCGCCGTTGCAAGTGAAAGTGCTCGTTTTATCATCGTAGGCATAGCTGTAGGCGCGTGGACAAGCAGTCTTGAAGAGAAGCGAGTAAGACGAGGGTTTGCAAGTGTCGGGTGTACCATACTCGCCGCTACAGCAATACTGTTGTTGTCCAAACGCCTCACACGCGCTTTTACACGCCACCCCATTGCCATCGGAGTTCATCACCTTCAACGCCGCCGGACACGCACCGTTCAAGTCCGTCATACACCCAGTATACGTACAATTATGTCCAGATCCGCCGCTAGGTGTCACCATCATCGGAAGATTGTATCCATCAACCAAACTAACATCGAAGAAATCCATCCCACCATCGCCATCGAGAGTAAATTCAGCCAAGGTGGCTGGAGGTGTAGCTCCGGCACCGGCGCATTCCATCTTTCCAGATCCGCAATCGCCAGTACCACAGGAGAATTTACCATCTGAATCCTCGGAACAGTGTGTTCTTCCCCAGAACCGACCACCCCATGACGAGGGCGCGTTGAGTACCTTCGATTCGCCTTTTTGGAGAGCAAAACCTGTTGATTGAAGAGGTGCAATCCCAGCGTTCGACAAAATGCCTGGCCAAACTGTTTTATCACACTTGTTCACAAATGTAAACGTTGCCGACGAAATTACTCCTACAAAAAATCCAGAAACTTCGTATCAAAACAATAACTCGAATCTACGTTCATATGGAAATCAAAATATAACCCAGATTACCCGATGAATAATCGAAGAAATTTGCAGAGATTATGAACAAATCTTACCTTGAAGGAAGAATTGTGCGATTGAGAGTATGAAGATAGAGATCGTTAGAAGCAATTTCGCCATATTTGGAACTACGATGAAGGGAAAGTTAGGATAAAAAAATGCTCTCCAAGGTGAAAAAGGAGAGTTTATTAGTGGGGAAGGCGGTCGGAGGCTATATATAGAGGGTGGTCAGAGGCGGTGGGTCGGAATAGCAGCTTCAGTCAGTATGCAGTTTATGCAAACCAACCATGTGGATTTTTTTATGATTTTTTTAATAGTTTGGATAACATCATTTCCAATGTGAAAAAAAAAAAACGATATAAATTGTTGATATAAAACAAGAGGGAGTTTATTAAACACTTATTTGAGTAAATGTTTATCAAGTTATATTATTTTAGCAAATGAATATATGATAAAAACAAAGAATCTTACTTGGTAGGAGTGAGACAAGAAGCAAGAGTCTTACCCGGTAAGTGAGGGCGACGACTTACCATGGTAAGCGTTTACCGGGTAAATTGTTGCATACGATGTCTTTTTGGTAGACTAAAATCTCACCCGGTAAGTAAATGATAGTGTTAAATTTTATCGGTAAGCGCTTACCGAGTAAGTGTTTGGTATTTAAAGTTTGTATTTACGTAATCAAGTAGATGAACGATCAAATGAAAACCGTCTTCATTTGTGTAAACCATGTAACCCAATCTCATCCATCCATTTTCTTGATCAATGGTCAAGATTAGTTTATGTTATTTTAGGAAATTAAAAAAATTAAAAATTAAAAAATTATTTTATAATCCTAAAAAAGACAAAATGGTAACTTTGATAGTGGTAATATTAATGGCAACTATATCATGTATATCGTAGTATTAATGAAACAAAATCATTTGTAAAATAATATATTAATTTTATGTTCAAATATTGTAAAAAAATAACATCCATCATTAAAATAGATCAACAATAAAAATAAAACACACTATAATCAATTTAACATAATAAAACCTTTTGAATATTAATTAAAAAGATTACTACTACATTTCATGAACGAAATGGTTTCACAATTTCATCAATACACAAATCAACATAATGGTAGATGAGACATTTGTCATTTTCAAGTTTCCAGTAGATGGATCTGTTTTAATTTAATTATGAAATTGTTTCACTGTTATTGATAGATGGATCCGTTTCATCGTAATAATGAAATGGTTTCACTGTTTGCTAATTACACAACATTTTCTTATCAATTATGAAATGATTTCACTTTTCTTCATGCACCCATTTCATCAGCCAATTTTTTCCAATACGAACACGTTTCATAGAATCAATTCATTTACCATTACATGCTTTGTTAACCATTAAGTGAACAAAATCATCAAAAAAAATGAAACAATTTCATCAAATTTTGTTGATAAGAAAACAAAATTATGCAAGAATATTATATTACGCAACCAGTTCATCTCCAAAAGTTTCATAAAAACAAGTTTCTCAATGAACGTTTTTATGAACAAATCTAACATGAATCTGTTTCACAGCTGATTGTATTTTTACCGGTTCATGAATCTTTGTTTGGATCTGTTACTGATTTCGTGGATTAATGAATATAATAATTTTCGATTTTCATATTATTACCACTAATAAACGAGAAACCAAATAACAATATTCAACTTTTAAAATTATAATTTAAATATTACCATTTATAAAATTTTCTTTATTATGTTACTTTAATTAAGATTTATTAATAACTTTCATATTTTATAGAAAACAATGTAAATGACAAATCTATCCTTAATGATTAAATTTAATTAAGAAAAAAAAAAGAATTTTCTTATTGGTTGAAATTAATTTATACAGTTTCTAAGAATTAGACGGTTTTCATTTGATCCCGCTTCTAATCAAGTATTTGACATTTTGTGTTTATAATATAAGTTTAAAAAATTCCATATATGAACTCTTTTAATCAAAAATACTTCATACATTTTAAACGTTTATTTGTTGGATTTAAACATATTTTTAATAAAATTTTCAACCCATTTAATTTATTAGTTTATTGTTTATAATATTTTTGATATAATATAAATAAATATTATATTTATTTATTACAAAAAGAGTGGTAGTACAACAAACTACGAAGCTATCGTACACACAAGAACTTCAAAGGAATATGGTTACCAACCTTAACCCTCATTTCAAGCCAACCTCCAACATCTGATCCATATCGATCCTTGGTTGGGCAGTTTATCAAACATTTATCTGGTAAATATTTATCGGTAAAATCAATACTATTGTTTACTTGTCAACAAAAACGGCTTTCTACGTAACAATTTACCTGGTAAAAGCTGACCGTGTTAAGAGTCATTGCCCTCACTTAGCGGGTAAGACTCTCAGTTTTTGTCTCGTTCTTACCGGGTAAGATTTTTGGTACTTACCATATTCATCCGATAAGGTAATACAACTTGGTAAGCACTTATCCAAGTAAGCATTTGGTAAACGACCCCTTAATTGATATTAATAAGGGTTCTTTCTTTAAATGAAATTGAATCAAACCAACTGATTGGTTTTGTTCGGTAACGAAATTTATGATTTAATTTGGTTTAGAAACTTTATTAGACGTGCAAAGGCAAGTCGTTTCATAATTCCATTGAAATGAAACCACGATGGGTCATTTCCCCCGTTGAACATGACTTGCAACCTAAAGACGTGACAAAATAGATAAGAACTTTATTGTATTTTCTTGATAACATATATTCAAGCTGCTAAAAAAATATCAGTTACAAACATAGACTTTCATTGTAATACCACTCAGTTCGCTTTTATTCAATTTGTATTAAGTCAGCTGACACAAACCGTCTATGTTGATTAAGATTCTTAATATTCTTCTTGTCAAGTTGTTCTTTCCTTCACTTTTTGTTCCGTTTATTCTGGTTTTCGATCGCTTTGTAACCAGCTGTAACAAACTCTCCCATTTAAATTGATGATGTCCTCTTCAAACATACTATGAGGCTGTTTGGCAATTGTTGAATGGTTTTGTGCAAAATGATTAAGTGGTCAGAATGATTAAGAGACTCTCATGATACAGTGCATAATGAAATATAATTGTTTGGTAATTGTATACAATGAAATCAGGGCTCTTAATGATTAAGGGAGATCCATGATACAAAATCATTCGAAGGGTTTTAGAACCATTAAGAGGCAGACCTTTTTTTTGTCAAACAAGATTCACCTCTTAACGATTCAGAGTTTGCCTCTTAATGGAACTATTAAGAGGTAAACAAACAACCCCTATGTATCATTCATTTTAGTCGGCATGTAAAATTCACATAAGATTTTAAAAACACCCCCTCGAAACACATCGTCCTTGATGGAATTTGCCCACCATACTGATGGTTGAGGAGTAGACTATGATACTATTTCTAACGATATAATGCCCAAAGCAATAGATTAGTCCAATTGTTGTAAATAATTTAAAAGCAAAACTAAATTTGATGACAGTTCATAAAATTTGAAAATCATAACCACGAGGGTGGTGCCCGATTAGTTTGAACTTAGGCTCCAAAGGTCAAAAGTGCGTGGAGGTCACACGTTTGAATACAAGGAGGAATAAAAATATCATTGTGGCCATGGAGATTCAAATGCGGTGACTCTGAGCGACCCACAAAGCGGGTGATCGCTCAAGGATTAGTCGGATCACATAGCGGGTTGGATATCTATGTTAATAAAAAAATTGAAAATCAAAACGAATCGCAGAGTTGCAGAACCTTTAAGAAAATGAGGATTAACTCCCCATGAAAATACCAGCAAAATCTGAGATATCAGCTAATCATTCCAAGTCAGAGTTTTTTAAATCGACATTAAAAGAAATTGTTTTTCTAAAATTGAATTCATCTATCAACCGTCTAATATATCAAAACGGTTTTTGGTTGAAAGAGTTAAAAATGCAAATAAAACGATAGTGAAAATTACTGTTAGCATATAATTCGGAGCTTATAAGGAATTCTGACCTCGTATTCTATCAACGTTGGTATCACATTTAAACGAGCTCAAAATCTCACAGATCCAACTTCCCATAAATATGAGATGAGTTATTACAAGTTCCGTTACTTAAAATTTTGACGTTCTCGTAATGTGTCACTACAACAAAATTGGGTTAATATGACACCCCCAATCTTTAAGTGTCCCAATAGACCGTTTTATATGATTTATTTTTTAGGACCAAAATATAAAGCGTCATATCTAAAGGTGTTGTAATAAATTTATATGACGCTTTTGGACGTCTTAACAAGTTTTTTAGTACATTGTTAATAAAAAGTGTTGCATTAACAACTTTATAGGACACTTTTGAGAAAAGTGTCCTATAACTCAATTTTTTATAGGACATTTATTTTTATAGGACAATTTTTCAAATAGTCTCCTATAAAGTTGCTAATGAGACGTTTTATATTAAAAGTGTCCTAAAAAAACTTATTACGACGTCAAAAAACGTCATATAAACTTATTACAACGCCTTTAGATAGGAGGCTATATTTTTTTTGGTCCTATAAACTAAGTCTTATAAATAGGTCTATTAGGACGCTTAGAAATTTGGAGTGTTCTATAAACCTAATTTTGTTATAATGTGTACTCAACATCCTTCTTATTCTTTGACATTGTGGAATTCGCCTAACATCTTACAGCAATATTAACGTGATTGATATAATTGTAAAAATTAATAAGTGATTGACGAATATTTCTATCAAATAATATAATTTTGTCTATTTTCATCAAATGACAGAGACAATTTGAGTGATGACTTGTAAGGTGTAATCTGAAGTTGAATGTTCGATGGTTGAGAACCTAACTTAATGGGCGACAAGTTTGTCTTTTCTTTTTATAATGTTTAATGGATGCTTTTTATTATATTCTTATAACCACTGAATAAAAAAGATGTTTGTCAGGTATACTGTATTTATGGTTGTTTTTTTGTTTAATTTTAATCAGCAAAATTATGTACAGTAATGATCCAAATTTTTTGTGTTTCGCAACCCAATATAATCCTCTCGTTAACATCGTTAGTCTAGGGGTGTTGATCAGATGGCGGTAGACTCTCGGTAGAGAAAGGGTGGTGCGGATAAAGGAATAGGTCATGGTTTCATTTAAGG